TGAAGGGCCTTGCTCAGGGGCCTTGCTTTTTTAGTTCAAGTAGGGAGCTGTGTCAGCAGGCGTAGGCTGCAAAGGAACAAGTAAAGGTTTATTCCAGCTGAAATGAGGAGAAAAGAGACTCAGCGTTTCGGCTGTGGAGCCTTCTTCAGGTGTGAGAAGGAGAGGGAAGTCAGCAGCCGATACAGCCTGGGAGAACAGAAGCCGGGAGTGGAGAGGAGGGGGGGGCAGGGGGGAGGCAGAGTGGGCACTCAGGTGGGGCAAAGTCAAGAGAGGTGAAGAGAGGGGCAAATGAATAGAGAGGATTAGGAGGAAACTCGTCTGTCACTGAGAGAAGGGGGAAGATCTGATCCGTGTTTCAGGATAATTTTGGTTTCGAAATGTTGTATATGTTGTATAATGAATAGTAGTCTTATTTATTACAATTAAAACTTCTTTAGATTGTGTATTTAGGGGTACAATATTGGGGCCTTATTGCAAGTGCTTTCTTGAAAAGGGTTCCCCTGGATTCTAGCCCCCTGATGTAAGCAAACCAGGCTTGTTGGCAAGGAGAGAAACCTCAGGCTGATCACGAGGAAGTTAACGGTGCATCAGAACGGCTGATGGTCTTCCCGGTTTTTATTAACGCCATGAGCTCAGCTGTGGATCAAGAATAAGTGCAGCTGATGCAGTATCATGGGGATACTGCAGTACTGTTACAGAGGAGCCACACTCGCTGTATCCAGGACCAAGCAGACAACAGCAGAACATAAAAGGTTACAAATGAGAGGGGGCTCATTGTGCTCATTTTGGTTTCTCATAAAAGCCTATTAAAGGAAGAACTGCAAAGCATTATACACAGGGACCAGCCATTTGCATGTAAAATATCAAGTGGGTGGTACTGAACTGAACTCAGAAAGGTGAGAAGCGAGAGGCACCCAGGTGTTGATTCTGACTCATCCGTGGGGGCGGAGGAGGGCCAGCAGGATGCTGGGATGCAGATTAAAATAAGCGTTGGACCACCGTCAAGGGAGAAAATGGCAAAAATGTGTAGCGCACCAGCACGATCCAATTGGAATACACAGTGTGAGGTGTCCACAGCACTACAGCGACATGTATAAATAGGACCAGCAGGTCTGGGGTAACTGGAGTAGCAGCAAGGCTGCGCACAGAGAGGCTGAAGGAGTGAAGTCCAGTGAGCCTGGAGATTGTGCTGATGTCTACACAACCCTCACAGGGACGAAGAGAGAGTGGGGCACACACTGCAAGGCCTCATGAGGACGCCGAGAGGTCCTTTTCCCACCGTGCAAGGGATCAGCACCTCGTTTAACACCTTGCAATGCCTCAGACTGAGGTGCGGCCAGCGCTAACACGCCTGTGGCAGACACATTTCCTGACAGACTCTGGATGGTTTCCCCAGGACCGGCCCCCCACAGACACTGCGAAATAGTAAATTCAACAACAAGATGATCCACTATGGATCACAGTGGCACAGTGGTCTGCATTGCTACCTCTCAACACTGGGGCCCTAGGTTCAATCCGGGGTAAATGGCGTGTTGTCTGTGTGGAGTTTGTATGTTCTTTCAGTGTTCGCGTGGGTTTCCTCCAGGTGCTCCTGTTTCCCGTCCCACAGACCAGAGACATGCTGGTGGGTGCGCTGACTCCTGGGAAAACTGGCCCCGTGTGAGTGTGCGCATGGCTGTGCCTTTGTGTGCCCTGTGATGGAGCAGTTCCTGCCCAAGCCATACTGTCTAAGATGATGGCAGGATGAGCCACATTGTAGTGTCTGCAAAGATGGAAATAACACTATGGTTGAGATATTTTATGTGATATTTTTAAGAGGTTGATTTTTTAAACATGTTGTTTTTTTAACTTCTGCAAATGATTTGTCCGTGATTGTTAGCTCACCTTTGTTGAAGGGGTTATTCAGTGCTGTCTTTCACATACTTAACCCCAGTAAGAGGTGCTTTCCAAAACCTTTCTTCTGTGTTACTGGCGCTGACCTCAGATTCTGTTTTCAGACAGGGGCAGTTCCTCTGCAAGTCTGGGGCAATGGCTCTTTCTCCAGCTGCTGGGGTCATGCTGAAGAGATTCATGAACACTTGACACAGGTGAAACCAGCTACATGTCATGCAAATGTAGCACCAGTAAGCCTTGTGCAGTTTAAAATGACTTCAGAGAACTGAGAAAGGTAGATGTTTACCTGTTCTTAATGATGGCTGCAGCCAATTTGATAGAAGTCTATGTTCTGTATCAGGAGTATCAGGTGGCCTTTTCAATTTGTAGTGAATAAAATGTATTTTTCCCCTATATATTAACACACTGTTTTATTTAAAAAATATTAGAACAATTCTCATTGTTAAATGTTGTTGGTTTTTGTCTCTGACTGCAGAGATAAAATTGAGAACAAGCTCTCTGTTGCTCATGGAGATGGATTGGCCTATATTGAACTGAATCTCTTAAATCTTGAACTCAGAAGACTAATAGGGAACCTGATACAAGTCAAGCAAGTGGATGTCATCAGAAAAAAACAGTCAAGCACAGACCAGAGGGAACAAGTGGAAATTACATTAAAACTAGGAACTGGAGGTGCTTTATTCCAAAAAGTCTGGGAGTATGGAACAGGTACAAACTACCATTTCATGATGCTGAGATACTCATGTTAATTTGGTTTGTGCTGTAACTACCAAACAGGTTACATGAACTGAATGGCCTCTCATCTGGCTGTCTTTCTCCTTATATAATTCAAAATATCTGTTACTCAATCAAGGTTCAGTTTCAGAGCCAAAGCCAGACACTGATCTACCACCTAACATACACTGATAGAGTACAAGGGGACAGTATGTCTGTTCTTCATGCACACAGTCTGACAATAACAAAGGGGTGATTGTCCAGAGAATGCTGATCCAACCAAGAGAGATGTCTTATCCCACATGGAGTTTTTGAATTGGTGTCACCACTCAGCAAAAGAGTTGATGATCTGTCGGCGAAAACTCTTCCAAACTTGACTTTATACATACAATTTGCACCGTGCTTTGAGGAAACTGCACCCAGTGGTGTGATGGAGGCATAACTTTATTAAAACAATTAAAAAGTGCTCTGCTTCAGTAACTCACAGTCAAGTAAACACCAGTTTTCCCTGTCTCAGTGGAAAGCAAAGCACAGTACAAGAGCTCACGTTGAGTCTAAAGTTACTTCATAAATTATATTATATAAGCAGCCCACACATAGTCATTCTGAATGCATTCTCAAAGTTTACAGCTGTTGCCGAAGAGGAGAATACCTCTTCCTTCATCACTCACAACTGCTACAGTATACAGAGAGGCTCTGTAGGCAATCTGACACATCCGACAGCTCTGTAACGCTCTGTAAACTGTGATAAAGGTGGGAGCAGTCTCAAACCCTGGTGCTGGAGATCCCCAAAGCAGTCAGTTTTATAAAGTCACCTGTTGCTAAAGATTGGACATTTCTGGGAGTTACGGATGAATTCAGTAAGCAATCTGTTGAATTTAGAGAGCTCTAACCCCTTGAGGGCTAAAGGCGAGCCGCATTTTCGTCCCAGATAGTTTCCGAATTACTTAATCCAAGAAATTAACTGATCACTACATATGGATATCCACTATCTTTAGAAATGTTTTGATAGCCTAAAAATGTGTGTGAGGAGCTCTCTAGGACCTGGCCTTGGAGACAGCTGAGCATGGTGTGAGTGATGCCTCCTGGTGGCAGAATCTGGAAACTTAAACAAATATACTAATTCACAGTTGAAACAATGGGTGTAACTTCTACCTTCATAAACATATATATTTACTGTAGAAAAAAATTCACATTTGATTTGCATAGATAAAGTTGACTATTCATTTAAACTGTTCACATATTCAGGGACTTCCACCATGTAAGAAGGGTGATAAGTGCATTTTCAAAAAGAAAGATTTAGCCTTATTTAAAGAATAATTTAGAAAATAATAGAATAATGTATAATAAAAGATCACAGTATTTGTTCAGAAGTCTTCTGCAGATTCAGTCTGTATCCTGTTTCACAGCCTGGTCTTATTTTTTGTGCAAAACTGTTTTTCAGGTGCGATTTTCAGACCTCGTCTTATCCAGAGCTCATGCAGTGTACTGCAGCTCCAAGACAGTCTCCACAGCGTCAGGCACGTCAGTCAAGTTGCGAACCTCTTTTCCTTTGTGCTCTCGCGCGGCCTGTGATGGGGGTTTTGACTCTCCGGCAGCACGGGCAGGCTCTTCTCTGGAGAGCCCCCCCCCCCCACGCGGGGCCGAGAACAACCTTCACAGCGGACGGACGAGGCCTCCAGCAGACCGCTCCTGCTCGCTGACGGCGGCGGGCACAGTCAGGCCAGAGCCTCAGTGACCGCGGCACGAGGCGCTCGTGGGGGTGGGCGGGTCCGGGCTCAGCGGGGCGCCCCCACCCTCGGGCAGCAGGGTGGTGGTCGAGGACGAGCGGTACACCCTGATCTTCTGCACCAGCAGCGTGGAGCAAAGCAGCGCCGCCGCCAGGACCAGGAACGACAGCGCCCACACTGAGGAAAGACAGGGCAACGCCAGTCAGCTCCCGGCCCTCTCCCAGAGCATCGGGGGGGGCGCTCAGGCGCGCTTCAGTGCAGCCTGCTTCTGGCTTAGCAAACGCCAGCACTCTCTAACAGAGAAAAGCTTCCTCTTTAGGAGGCAGAGGGCACTGGAGGGCCAGCACAGTGCAGGAGTGTGGGATGGGAGGGCAGGAGGGTTAGAGGGTGGGCGTGCCGTGTCTTAAAGGTGACAGCGCCAGGTTCTTCCTGGGCTAGAACGGCCCTCGGGTCTCCTGTCAAGGACAGCAGGGCGTTAGCTGTAGGTGGGAGTACAGCTGCTGCATGCTGAGAATATAATGTATATCAGAGTGGAGCAGATTCTATTAAAGCTATCAGGCACAGTTCCACTGGCTTAGCATAACACCTTCAGGGAATGTGCAGAGAATGGCATTCTAAGAGTGGGGTATGGAGTTTACAAGCATGAGCACAGATAGGGCCATTTTGGAGTATTTCTTAACAGTAAAATTCCTCATTATACAAGAGTGCTGCAATATACTTTGGGAGTAGGATCTGTGGGATTGCCTGAGGTATCTACAGGGCGGTTGTATAGTTTATACAGGAGATCTTGCAGGGTACTTGCATTACAGTCGTCAGAACTGTCCTAGTAATTTGGCGACATGTTGCAGTTCAGGTTTTTAAAGCACAGCTAATCTTTTATTATCATTACATAAGGGAATAACTGCTTCCGTCTAGCTGTGCTAGCTTACATATTATGCCAAACAGGTTTGCTTGTATAAATGGCTTGAGTTTTAAAACTTAAATGAAAATTAGAACATTACAATTATAAAAAATCATGTAGGAAGGATTTAAATGTTATCACAACAATTGTTTCAGAGCTAAAAACTGAACAAATCCTTTGTTTTCAGGAGATTCTGGAGCTGCTTTCCTTTTAGATTATCATCACCTTTCTTCCCAGGCTAAGAACAGATTTAAAAAGGGAGTGACCATGAAGGTCATATGCCAGCAGCCATATCACCCTGCAACTCACAACTGGCAGCCCACTGAAGCTCAGCGTGTGTGAGCCTGGTCAGTACCTGGGTGGGAGACCTCCTGGGAAAAACTAAGGTTGCTGCTGGAAGAGGTCTTAGTGGGGCCAGTAGGGGGCGCTCACCCTGCGGTCTATGTAGGACCTAATGGCCCAGTATAGTGACGGGGACACTATACTGGAAAAAGGTGCCATCCTTTGGGTGAGATGTAAAACCGAGGTCCTGACTCTCTGTGGTCATTAAAAATCCCAGGGTGCTTGAGAGGAGTAGGGGTGTAACCCCGGTGTCCTGGCCGAATTTCCCATTGGCCCTTACCAATCATGGCCTCCTAATAATCCACCTCTCTGAACTGGTTCCATCACTGGTCTCCTCCCCACAGATACTGGGGAGTAATAGTGTGATGTGTGCTGGACAAGGGCACGCTGAGAATAGTGGCAGTATAGTTCTCTTACCAAGGAGGGGGAGTCTGTAGACCTTAGTGAGGTCATCTGTCTCCTGAAAGAACAAAGGCAGATAGCAGTCAGTCAAAGAAGAAGACACAGGTAATGTATGGCCAATATTGCAGTGTAATCCATGATCAAGTAAATAGATTCGCAGGTACATTGCTTTTTCATACCAGGGCCGCCCAGTTTGAATTTACCCCTACATCCCTAATTCATGACCTCCCTTCCCTCCTCCAGCAGTAAACCAAATCTCCTTCCCCAGTGAACACCAGCTTTTGCATGCTTTATTATTTCTTATTTATGTGGTTAACACTATTACCTAAAGCACCTTTCATTTGCACCCACCTACACACACTGAATACAGGTACAACAGTATCGACTAACCTGGGATTTGATCCGGCAACCTTCCAGGTACAAGTCCTGAAACCTGATCTCTACCAACGCTAGACTCCAAGCTCATGTCAAAAATCTAATTCCCCCAGTGAGCAAGCCCTTCAGGTCACTGCCCTGTACATGCCCGGGTTGTGGGTGCCTACAGGGTGGGAAGAGCTCTTTCCTCTTGCTAGGGCTTCAGAAAAACAGGAGCACCGGGCACCCTAATGATAACGAGGTCAGCATGAAGGCTGCGACTCTTTCCTGCTTATTTAAGGTGCAGCGAAGACCTCTAGTGGTCTGAAGTAGAAAAGCAACTATGTGCACAGATATACTGTAGATGAGGAAAGACATAGAGGCACCATTTAGGTCTTTATGTCAAAGCTATGCCCACTTTCACATTATGTGCCAGCTGGACCGGTTATCAAACACACAGGAGATCTCCAAACTGGAGATTTCTGTGTCGTACATGTCTAGACAAGAACGGAATGTTTATACTGCAGAGATCTTTCATTTTTTAAATTATTCACAACAAAATGACTACAAACGAGAGGACCCCGTTTTGCCCACCACACTGTTCTGTCACTGGTCATACTGGGAACGACTCCCTCCCGACAACCCCCCACCCCAACCTGCACACCTCTGAAAGCTGGGAGGAAACCAGCACACCCATCGCAACACAGGGAGAGCATGCAGACACCACACACACAGACACCCACATGGGAATCGAACCCGGGCCCCTGGATATTTGAGGCAGAGGCAGGGTCTCCATGCCAGAGCTGACACGGCATCATTTCAGCATTTACCACATTAGCTACGAGGTCCAGAATTTGAAAGAACCTTCTCAAAGAATTGTATTTGTATTCAATTAGTTTCATGCAGAGCACATTGACCTAAACCACATTCAATTGAGAGGAAACAATTGAACAGGACTATATATACTGAAAGAGCCCTGAAAGGCATATCAGTTAGCAGGACCTGGCTCTTTCCTGGAGTCTGTGTGTTTATGGCTTTTACCTCCCCTATAAAGTGCTCTGGCGGGAACATAAATAATTAAATTGGGCAAAAAAAGTGAGATAACTGACCTTCTCTCATCTACACACATTAAGAATTCACATTTAGTTCTGAATCTCACCTGAGGGTGGCTGGGAAGAGCAGAAAAAATGCCTTGCTCCCTACTGACAGCTCAGCAGCGCCTGGCCTACTGCAACATGTGTCTGTATGTTTGTGTCACAGTGGAACTTACCAGGAATGTGACTGGCCGGTTCTTCAGACAAGAGGCCTTGTCTTTCTCCAGGAACCTCTTCAGAGAGCTAATACTGCAGTTACTGAACACTGTGCTCTGGCCTAACCTGGAAATGCAGCAAAGGAAACGGTCGTGTGAGCCTGTGTCTGATAGTCTCCACCAGCGACCCCAATCCCCCTCCCCCAGTACCCCTCAGTCTCCACCAGTGACCCCAATCCCCCTCCCCCAGTACCCCTCAGTCTCCACCAGTGACCCCAGTACCCCTCAGTCTCCACCGGCGACCCCAGTACCTTCTGGATTGTGTTCCAGATCACTCTTGGTTGCATTATCAAACTTCATGTAACTTATTGTTTAACAAACTGTTTTGTGTACTCAGTGTTACTCTATTTCCAAGAAATGAAGCAAAAAGATGCTCTTCCAGTTTCTTTTACAGCCAGCAGAATATCAGTTACAGGACAGGAGCAGGTGACAAGGCCGCAGAGTCTAACACTGCCCCAGAGTTCGTTCTTGCACTAGCCCTAGTGACGCGTGGACTCAAGAGCTCCGCTCCAGCTGGTCATTTCAACAGCGGCCTGAACGAGCCCTGACCGCCGAGCGCCCGGGCTCATTTCAATCCCTCTTGATAGTGTCCTTCTAGGTACCAACTGAAACAAACTGCTGGGCAGAGCGGGAACACGGCTCTCACAGCTGTCACCCAGGGCCCTTACCCTGTGAACGCACTGAGCAGGCACTTGCCGCTCCAGGACGGGCACTGGCAGCTCCTGCCCGGCTCGTTGTCGTGGTGCATCTCCAGATTGTGCCCCATCTCGTGTGCCACGATCTCGGCCAGCTCCCAGGCGCTGACCCCAGGGCTCTGTTCACAGAGAGACCGTCACCACCGGCAGCACACAGCTCTGTCCCTCGCCAACGCAGCGCCAGATTGTCGGATTTTTGTCTTTCATATTAAAAAGGTTGCGTATCTTAAGCATTTCCCACAAATTCCTCCTTTAACGTTCCTTTCGTTTTTTGCAGGCTAGAAACTTTCAAATAAACTGCAAAATTACGTAAGCCCTGTATCTATAAAATAAACAGGGGGCTTTGTTGCATTTTAAGTATGATGCATTCTTTATTCTTTTAGAAAAATTGTCAGTAATAGCAAATTTCCATTAAACACCTTACGAATACAGCAGTAACATTAACAGCCGATCATCATTAATATTCATGAACACCTCTGTTATCTTTGTGCAAACAGAAAGGTGTATGGATCTGTCAGTGTGCAGTAATGTGAGCACAGACAAACAGGTGGACACGCAGACTGACATATATTACTGTACGTGTAATTCTATCTTTCTGTACAATACATAGTGGTCCTATAGAGCCACTGCAGTCCAGCAGGTCACCCGTAAACCTTCTATTTATAAAGACTTAAACCAGTTGGATTAATTTAGGAAGTTAATTGGTTCAATTAAGTGGCCAAAGAGCTTTAGGATCTAGGGGTCTTCATTACAAATTGTCTCTAAGTTACATAATTAAACACCTCGCCCGCTTCAGGGGTCAGAATGAAATCGTTCCACATGTGTGGAAATGGATGATTTAACGGGGACCCATAATCCCTGCAGGACTGGGGCTCCCCGGGACCAGGGTAAGCCAACCCCAATTTGTGACATCCCCGTAATAAAGCCATGTCTTACCTGGGCCAGTCCTCCACTCTGGCTGGAGGAGCACATGGTCCCTAAGAGGCCTTCTCCCAGGACTTTCCCTTTAAACCTCCTGCCGCTGGAGAGAGAGGAGGACACATCAGGCGTTGCCCCGGCTCACGCAGGCACAGGGAGACCAGTGGACTCCAGGATGTAACACTGTTTAATTCCAGACAGTGGGGCTCAGCCCCTCTCCCCGGAGACACGTGCGGTCAGATTCACAAATCAGCAGGCCCTTCCTGTGAGCATCGCACTGCACAGCGCTTTGGTCTTAACAGACTGAGCTCAGAGCCCCGAGATCCTCCAACAAAGAGCCAGTTTCAGACCTACCAAGACCAATCAGCCGCAGGCTCCAGCTGCCTCACATGAAGCATTAGAGTGATCGTTTAATAACTGTAATTGTAACTGTAATTGTAGTAATTATCCCAGGCTCTTGGTAAGATTAAGCCACTCCACAGATTTCTCCCCAGTAGGACAATTATACATAATACACTAACCAGGACCCCTGTGCTTCAAAAGAGGGTAAACCGCACTTCTGCTTAAGAGGAACTTCCCTGTTCCCAGCAGTATTAAGCGGCTGGTCCGACGCACATGCTATATTTGTCCAGCAGGGGTCACCCACCACTGCTCTGTACCTGATGAGCTGGGCGTTGTCGTGAGGCACCCTGGGCAGCAGGTCCTCCTCTCTCCAATGCAGGAAGTTCTTCAGGGTCTCGGTGGTGGAATAGTCCACAGTGACTTTGTCCCCCTCTGTCCACACCTCTGTGCCCACCAGCCACACGTCGATGCCCACTTGACTGTAGATCTAGCACCACACAGCAGGGAAAACACACACACACACAAGGTTAGACACCATACGCCACACCACCCGCACACCCTACAGGCACCGAAACATCCAAAGAGCACCGACCTGCTATCAGAAGATTAATCTTTCTGCCATTAGCTACACAGTCCTGTGCAGGGCCTGGCTGTAGGCAACATGCCTGTCACATGGCTAATGTCCACTCGACTCCTCTAGCTCACACAGGCCCTGGTTTTGCCCTCACTGATTGCGGCGCTGTGAGCCCTGATGCACAACTTCCTCTGATCTGCTCCATCCTGAAGGAGCCGCCTGGAAGATGTCTCGGGAGCTGGGAGGGGTCCTGTCTGAGGTGTAATGCCCTACCTCTTTCAGGTGGTGTGCCAGCGTTATCAGCTTCCACTGGGTCCTTCTCTTGTCGCCATGCTGCCTTTGAAACTGCAAAGAGAAACCCGTGTGCATCAGCCAGCATGAATCTGTGACCAGATTAAACACTCAGACATTAAACAATCTACCCTGCTCTGCCTTCGCCTCTATATCAACACAGGACATTAAACAATATACTGTTTGAACTTCACTGTACTTGAACTTCAATCTAAACTGAAAAACCTGGGGGTGATATCTGGTCCTGTGTTGTCGCTAACTGCGGCTGAAAAGCTGATCAACCCATTTGTGTTCTCCTGAATTGACTACTGTAATGCTCTACTTGCTGGGGTTTCTAAATCCACATTGAACAAACTCTAGTATGTCCAAAATTCGGCAGCCAGAATCCTGACCAGGTCTAGTGCAAGTGATGACATTACTCCTGTCCGGGAGTCCTTGCACTGGCTTCCTGTCAAGTTCCGTGTGGACTTTAAAATCCTCATGCTCACCTATAAGGCTCTGCATGGCTTGGCACCTCAGTACCTGTCTGAGCTATTATTGCCCTACTCCCCACCTGGCAACCTTCACTCTTCTAACTCTGCTCTCCTTACTGTCCCCCGAGCCCGTCTACATTGTATGGGCGACAGGGCCTTCTCCTGTTATGCCCCCAAGCTCTGAAACTCCCCAAGGATATCAGAGAGTCACCTTCTCTAAACTCCTACAAATCCAGACTCAAAACCCTCTTCTTTAGAAGAGCCTTTACTCACATTCCATTCTTTACCCTTCTGCTCCAACCATATTCAGTACCTCCATCTACTGTCTCCTTTCATTGTGCATTCTCATTGTGCACATCTTGTGTATTTTTTTTTATTGTTGTTGTCGTTCTGTAAAGAGCTTTGAGAAGCCACCTTTAAAGGCACTATATAAAATAAAGTTTATTATTATATAATATACCCCACCCTGCCTTCACCTCTATATATATCACTGTGTTGCATCAATATTCTTCACTTATTTCGAACCCAAAGGCAAAGGAGTATCCAGAAGACACAACATAGCACTTTCAGTGTGCACTGATTGTATATTAAACTGTATATATGCAAAGAAAACACAGCATGATAAAATGCATATGAACATTCCTTGAAAACAGCAACATCTACCTGACAGTCAGAATCTAAGGTCTGTCTTCTGTAGTGAATGGATTTATTTGTAACAGAAAGTACTGAGGAGGTGTGAATGACTCTTCCAAGAAAGAGAGACGCCTAAAAGTCCGAAAGCTAGAGGTTGGGAAAGTGGGAGGTCTGAGGACACTACTGAGGTGCCAGGATACTACTAATACAGGCACTTTAGAAAGACTTACCTCTTCATGGTCAGCCACCAGGAACAGCTCAATACCCCACTTCTGGTCCGAGCCCTGCAGCGATATCAGAATTAACTCTGGCATGATGTTACAGAGCAGAAATAAAGAGAGGTAAAGTCTCAAAGAATGTGATCACCTATGTTTACACACTGCCCCTCTGTCTCCCGCCACTGTTGGGTAACTTCAGACAAACTCTACCACAGTGAACTCCGAACAATATTTCATCGGTGTGGATCATGCTTAACGAAAGCTCTCACTGAGCTCTGACTAAACAACGTGGTGGGTCCTCATCCAGGCCGAGCTGCTAAAGCTGTTCCTCTCCGCAGAAAAGCAATGAAAACACAATCCTGCGATCATGGCACCTGTCACGTAGCCGTGAGCACAAGAGGTTATGTACATTTACTGAGGCGGTGGCTGCCAGGAGCAGCCCCTCGTTACTCCATCACGCTGTATTGACTTCACTCCCAGAGGGGCAATCCATCACAGCTCATGTCTCAGGCCTCGGACGGATTAGCAGAAATACTGCCTTTCCTGTTCAGAACTAGTTCTGAACAAACGTGCTGAAAATAAATCATATCTGCTGGACGGGCTGAATGGCCACCTTTTCATTTGTCAATATTCTGACGTTTCCAACAGAACGGACAGGGTGAGCGGCTCCGTCGGCCTGTGAGCCGCGCAGGCAGACTCACAGCATCAGGACGGGGGGGTCCGGTGCCGGGCGTAGGAGAGGGGTCCCTGGATCGTTTCCTCCTTTTCAGGCGAGTCCCGGTGAGCGTGTGCCTGGGGCCCCCATCGGTTTCCGGGGTCACTGTGTAGCTGTGCTCCCCAAGCCTGAGAGAGCCACTGGAAGGGACACATGAACACAGGAGCTGTAGCAGACCACAGAGCGGCTCACACCCCCACGACTCTGCAGCAGAAGCATTCGGCACAATGCCCAAGTCAAACAAATACTGAAAACAAGTGCTGCTTTCTGCTGAACTGATACACATCCTTAGTGCTCACATTTTTAAAGAGCTCTGGTATGAAAGTCACATGTATCTTTTTTTTTTTTTAACCGGAGGATAATTATAGCTTTTATCCTCTTCCGGGGAAAATTTTGAGGATGACAACAAAGCCGGGAATCCGGTCTGTCGCCCTGCGGAGTCACGCGAGGGCGCCTCTGGCACCCAACCAGCATCGCTGGCTGGTGCCCTGCACAGCCCCGCTGGCAGCAACCCGATCTCCGGCTGCTCCACATCCCACCCTCCACTCACCTGAAGCCCTGGCAGGAGCACAGGGAGACAGAGGAGTCCCGAGCCCCCTCCACCCAGCCGGTGTAGCAGCAATGATCCTGGGGGCGGACAGAGACAGCACTGAGCCCACTTCCTCTGAAACACCAGATCAAACGCCCAGCAAGCAAACGTCCGGCTGGCGCTCTTAAGTGTTTCTGGGTAACACACACACACATCAGGTTCAAGCCTCTAGATTTGTTTTTTAAGACCGCTTTGATTTCCGACTCTGACTCTTTGGCACAAGGTTGGTACGGTTATGAACCAGACCTCCAGTTCCTGCCCTGCGGTGCCAGTGATCACCGTGTGCCGGTGCTGCTGCAGGGCTGCTTCGTACACAGACATCGGACAGAAAGGAAATAGGACGAGCACACCTACTGGAACAGCAAAATCCCAGGGCTTCAGACTTCCTTCTTAGTTTTGAATTTAATTTTAGACGGACACTTTGTAATAGTGTCCAGTGCCTCCAAAATTTCCTGGGATGACTTACATGGTCACAGCTGTTATTAAAGTTAAGATGAGGTTTAGGGTGAAGCTTTTTTGTCCGGTGCTGAAGATAGTGGTACAGTAACTCCAGGATTCACCCAGAAGCAGTGACAATACAAGATTTCACCTTTAACAAACATAAACATGTGTGTATTTGGTAGGAGTTATAACTTGCAAATATCTCCTTGGCAGGTTATTTAAGAAACATTATTAAAACCAATTCCTGGTTTAGATAAGCCAGGAGACAGGATAGTGTACCATATTAGGAAATCTCAGCTGCTGAAGCTCTGGTACCATTGACAATGAACAAATTTTAAAACCAGCTCAGAAGCTGTTCAGTACCATTAGAATTCCTACCGTGTGGTCATGTCGCTCGGACACAAAGTCCCCTCGCTCATAGTAGTGCTCAGTGTATCCCTCTGACAGCAAATCCCTTTGAAAGGAACACAATGTGTGCTTAATAACACCTCTGCTCACACAGTGCTGTGGTTTAACATTATGAATTCCTTGGTATATCATGTGCCCCTGAATTAC